GGAGCCCCTCAGCTTCCATTGGCTGAGAACAGCAAACAGTAGCCAATGGGAGATGAGAGGCTCTTTGCCTGCAGCCTGCAAGTCCTTGAGCTGACAACCTGGGACTATCAGTTTGTACTCTAGAGTTGGCTTATAACTGGGTCAGTGACTTTTTACCATTTTTTCTCTGTAAGTTTGGGGGGTCGGCTTATAAATGAACGGACTTATGTTCACGTGTATACGGTAATTAGCCTCATTAATATGGGTCTTACAGTTGACCGGTACTTCTGTTGTTTTCTATATATATTTCTTAGTTTCTGTTATTTCCACTCCAATTCACCCGATGAAATGGGTTTTGCCCATGAAAACTAACGATTCTATATATTTTGGTTAGTCTCTAAGGCGCCACAGGACCACTCGTTTTTGCTAGTTCAGCTGGTGAACCTTGGAGCAGCCCCCGCCTGGAGCATGGTGGGCCTGGATGGGCTGGAGCAGCCCACCGGTTAACCAGTTACCCAAAAGCATTGCCTAATCAGGGTGAGGCTTAGTTGGTAAATGGTTAGCCGGTTAACCCTTTACATCCCTAATTCAGTGACAGTAAGCTTCTAAGTCAGTGGTTCTCAAACTTTTTGGCCCCTGGATGACCTGGCTCAATGTAAATTTTTCCATGGACCACCAGTTGCTAATGGAAACTCACCGTTAATTACATAACTACACCCAAGCCATTTTGCTAGTGCTACAGCTAGGGAGAATGGTTTAATTTCAATGATTAAACAGACTGATCATTTTAACTTTCTCATGTTAGTTTATCAAACTTCATTTTAAATAAAGTAAAATATTAATTTATGTTCAACACAAAAGGTTTCAATGTTTTCTTTATTTATGAGAGGAGTGGAGTACCTTTTTTGGGTCGGGGGCCACTGACCCACAGAAAATCAGTTGGGGACCCACAAGTAAGCAGCAAAAAAACTCCTGCCCAAACCCCCAACCCTCACTGAATTGGTCCCCAAATGAGACACCACACTCCTCTGGCGCTCCAGCCCCACTAGGTGAGGGGAAGAGACAGGGAGGACTGAGGTTCAGGGCTTCCCACAGGCCAGATTTACTTTTATGGGGTTTTGGAGCTAGTGGATTTTATGGAACCCCTTAGGCTCTGGGGTGGGAACCAAAATGAGGGGTTCAGTGTGTGGGACAGGGTTGCCAGTGAGTGGGATACGGATGGCGGTGCAGGATCTGGGAGGAAGGTGGGGTGCAGAAGGGGGAGAGTAGTGAGGTCTGGGTGGGAGGTGGGGTGCAGAAGCAGGCTGGGAGTAAGGTGTCTGGCCAGGGTGAAGGAGCAGGAGCAACGGTGGATACAGGAGCAGGGTAGGGGGTAAATATCTGGCCAGGGGTGAGGGTGCAGGATCAAGGAAGAGTGCAGGAGCAGCCTGGGGGTAGGGTGTCTGGCCAAGAGGGAGGGTGCAGGAGAAAGAGAGGGTGCACGAAGGGCTGAGGGGGGAGGATGCAGGAGCAGGCTGAGGGTAGAGTTTCTGGCTAGGAGAGAGGGTGTCTAGATAGGATGGGGAATGCAGGAGCAAGGGAGGGTGTCAAAGCAAGCTGGGGGTGTGTGGTCTTGGGTGGAGGGAGAGGAGTGAGGGTGACTGGGGTGCAGGGGTCTGGGCATGAGGGGGGATACTTACCTGGCTTTGTGCTCCCTTGAAGTGGGGAAAGCCTCATGAGTCACTGCACTGCCATTCCCCCAACAGGGTGGGGGGAGGGAGGGAGCTGAGCCTCCCCCTCCCCCACGCAGCAGAAAGCCCACGCAACCAGGAGGCTGCAGCACTAGCTCGTCTTCCCACTCAGAGGGTGTGCATGGGCGGGAGTGGGGGGGAGGGATGAAGAAAGCTCATTGAAAAATCAGAATTATTTTCAGAGAAGTTTGTATGAAGCCTCCATGCACAAGGCTGCTGCCTGATTAGCAGAATAAATGTTTTCAAGCTGTCTTGTGGACATGCCTCGGAGATGCCTTTAAAAACAAGTTACCTCCTTCTGGACCACGGTCTCCAATTTCTCCATTGTCTCCCTCCCTTTTTTCACATGCTGAACTGTGTGATCATCTGAGTCTTCTCCGGCCAGCCCCCAAGAACTGCTGCCTCTCACTGGAACCACCTTTCAGGTTTCATTTAGAGCTGCGCTCTTGCCACTGAGCACTCTCACCCATGAACGCTTTACTAATTGCAGCTTTGAATACCCTGGACTGGGAGCTCACCAGATCAAACACAGTCGCTGCCATGCTGCATGCCCTTTCACTCGGCTGCAGCCGAACAAGCAGGGTCTGGAGAGGGAGGAAGCTATGGCAGGATGCCTAGGTGGCTGCTGGTTCTGTCAGAGGGACGTGGACAAGCCCTCTGAATTCCCCTGTGGGCATGCCCCCTCCCCACAGCCCGGGCCCTGGCCTTCCCCAGGAGCTACGGACAGTACTGAGACCCCTCACCAAGCCGGGTGGCGGTTCCCACCCTCCTCCTCCTCGTGTACAGCAAAGTGGTGCCGTGTGAACGCGAGGATCCCGGAGTGCAGCGCCCCCTCCCCAGGCTGGGCCACACCTTCCTGCAGTGTGCAGCCCAACAGACGGGCGGCCAGGTCAGAGCGGGGCGCACCTTTCAGCGTGAACAGAGAATGGGCAGGTCCCCGTCGTGGCGGGCGGGGTGCAGGGGGGAAATGCAGAGTCAGCAGCTCCTCGCTTGAGAATCCTGCCTCTGGGCCGACTCCCAGCGACATGGAGACTGGAGGGGGGTGTGTGTGGGGGGGAAGGGAGCTCAAGGGTGGGGGTGACAAGAGACTCAAGGCTACCTCAGCTGCAGACTGCAAGCACAAAGAAGGAGGTGGGGTGGGAAGCCTCACCTGAGGCGCAGGGACATGGACAAGCCCGCAAGAGAACCTGCCACGTTGCATGTTGCACAGGGCACTGGGGGGAGGCCGAGCTGGAGCCACGGACCACCTGGGAGGTAGCCACGGACCACTAGTGGTCCACGGACCCCACTTTGAGAACCACTGTTCTCAGTGGTGAATAAGACCATCAACAGACTTTTTTCATAAGCACTATTTTTTGTAAGTGTGTAATATTGCTGGTAATTTTGTTGTTAGGCTGGGGAAAGGTCAGATCTGTCAGGATTCCAGAGGAACATGCAATGGTGTAATTGCCACAATATTGCTATATCTGTGTCTAAGGATCACCGTGCAGAAAAGCTTAATAAAGGAAATGGGCCTAAGGGAACAGAGAAGAATTGGAAAAGCAGCAACATTCAATTAGATCAGTAGTAATAAAAAACTGCAGCAGATTAAGGAATATATTTCATACAACAGAAATATATAGGTTTTGAAATTAACACTGGCCTTTAACTCAGTGTGGAAGCACTGACCCCCTAACTCTTTAATTTTAGCTGCAGAAAAGACACATATTTGGCTTTAGGAACTGATGGGGCTGTCGGGAAAAAAAAAGCAATTTTTCTCACCATGGCTTTAAGCCTGTCACTGTGCTGCAGAAGGTCACTGAGGCTCAATTCTAGTGGTCATTCATAATGTCAGCTCACTTCACTGAGCCAAATCTTTTGTTACCAAAGTGGGTCGCTGGCCTTGTGCATTTCGTAGGAAGTCGTGCTCCATCTTGCTGTATCAGCATCCCAAGGGCTCACTGCTACCCTCAGCAATTCTCGGCTAAGTGTGGGACCAGAGTGACGTTTTGAATGTCACTGTTGTTCAACAGAGACTTGCTTGACCTCTGTGTCATTTCAGGCAGGATTAATTTGAATGCACCTATTTGATTTTAGCTGAATATGATGATTTGGGGTGGGAGGAGGGTATAAATCTACCTTTGAACTAGAATTTGAAAAGAAAACAACTTTCCTTTAAAGAAGAACTTTAGCATGTTAAATTTTTTTGCACTTGTATAGCCCTTGCCATCACGGACATCACAGCATATTGTAAACAGTAATGGAATTAATCTTCAAACAGCTCTGTGCAGGAGTGAAGAACCATCATTTTCATTTTTTTTTATGGGAAGCCCACAGTGATTAAGGACATCCGCAACCTCAATTAAAATCAGTGGGAGTTATTGGTGCTCTGTGCTTCAGGAAATCAGATCCTCCCAGACTTGTGTAAGATCACACAACAAGCATGGGATAGGGCAGGGCCATCCTTAGGATTTGTGTGGCCCTACGCAGGACAATTGAACTGTTGCCCCGATGCCTGATGGCAGACAGAGGGACGACGACTTTTTTAGAGACGTAGTTTTATAATCTGCAGCAGCGCACGAATGAAATATTTTTATAACAATTTTTAAATTAATGCCCTGTTGACAAACAGTAAATTCAGAAACTGACAGCTAATACCTGGAGCTGGCAAATGTCTGTTAAATGGCTTCATTACTGCTCACATGACCCTTTCACAGGGTCAGTGCGTTCTGCTAATAAGTCTGGCCGGCTTTTTCACTTTTAAGTAACTAGGTCCTCTGGAGGAAGCAAAACCACAGAACAGGGATAGGAAGATACAGCTGGGTGGACATTAAGACCCAGCGGTGCTCCACATTTTTGGGTGCCCTATGTAACTGCATATTCTGCGTATGGGTAAGGAAAGAGTCAGAAGTAGAACCTAGACCTAGTGACCCTCAGTCGCTCTGGCATCCTGGATTTCTGTATATATAGATACCCCTTTCTGTTGTACCTATTTAAAAAATGGGAAAGTGTGAAAGAAAACAGAGAAATGTGCTGCTTTTCAACATAATCTTGCCTTTAGGTCATAATTCTTTGCCATGGAAAATGTACTCTAAAATTTAAAAAAAGTCTCTGTTTCAAGTGAAGGAGCTCTTCTATTGTCCCTTTCCTTGAAGTCGCCAGTGACTGGCCTGTATTCAATGGAACACATTTCATTTGAAACCCAAAAGCTATTTCCTGAGAGAGAGTTCATGCCCTGCAAATCTTCAACACTGTGCATGACGGGAAGTGACAGCAGCATGGTGTTCAGGGAAACAGCTGCATAATACTTGCCTGTTGAGATAGACCCGTTTTTCTGTGAGCTGACCATTGCCGTGATGTGGATCTTCATAGGGTTCGTTCTGCACGACTTCCACGCCCTCCCCTCGATCACTCTGCTCGTGGCTATGCTTACTGATCATGTACAGCTGTCCAATTCTGTACTGCAAAACAAAAACAGGAGCAAATATATTAGCCATATATAATGCATGAGTATCCTCAAGCCAAATGTCAAATGGATATCCAGGAAAAATTGCAATTTAAAGGTAGTGAGTGGGAGATGGAGGGAATCATTGCATTCAGAGCTGCAAGAATAATAATAATAAACGCTACTCCTAATGAATGCATCACTAAATAATAATGATATATCCATAGTGTCGTGTATCCAAGTGACCGCAAAGTACTTTACCAAAATCAGTCATGTGGCTGCATCCTCATTGTGATGTAGGCGAATTACATCACAGGAACCTTAAAAACCTCAAATGGGTTTTCACCATAGGAGGAGGTGACATGCCTCACACTAAAGGCCTCAGTGTTATAGAAAGCTAGAAGTTTCTGGAGGGGCATGGAGTCATGAGATGTTGGTGAAAGAGACTTCTTTGGAAACCATTGGCATACCTCTTTAAGGATATGTAGCTATAGAGTCCTCAGCTTTTGTAGATCAAGGTAGCTCCACTGAAGTTAAAAAAGTTATGCAAATTTATAGCAGCAGGCCTCTAAATTACTACCTGCATCCAAGCCATCATGGCACCAAGACAACTGATTATTTTCTTCTCAGCCACACATCAAAGGACAAGCAGTATTTGGAAGAAACTCACAAGAGTTTTGTTTATAAGTCGAGAGCTATACAAGGCACCACTTTTAAACCAGGCAAGATCAATGTGATAGTAGAGGTGCCAGGAATGGCAGACCAGTAAAAAATTATACAAACACTAACACATATTAGCAGGAAATAATAACCCATGATCAGTTGTGACCATGAGATGTCCAATGGCCTCATGATGGTCTGGTGGTTTCTGCCCAGTTTCTAGTGGATAAATATCTATATTATTACAATACCACCACCACAGTGACATTCTTATTAGACTCTTTAGGACCCAAGCACTATGGGCCTTGATAACTGGCCTCCATTCTTTCAGCTAGAGGTGGTCCTTGCTGGTCAGTCATCGGCCATTCTGGACAGTCAATTTGGTCTATGAATGAACTCAGGATTTTATTATTCAAGGTTTTTTTTAAATCAGTCCAGCACTTCCTACCAGCACCAGAAATTCCCTAAAGCAGATTAAAAAGTCATTGATTTTCTTGGATTAAAATATTTTTTTCTATTAACCCCATACCTGGAATTTTCTGTGCAAGATTCATGATTCTGCTCTGAGTTTCAAAGAATGTCTTGCACAACTGGCAGATTCATTCTTATTTCACTTTAGTTTCCCCCATATTCTTCTGTCTCTGTATTGTGCATTTTGGAGCATAAGAGAATAGTTAAGAACCAACAGCTCTTTCTTGACTTTTATTGTTTAATAGATTTTTTTCTTAACTTGGGAAAGTCTTTTTGTATTTCAGCTGAGATGGGAGGACTAATCCCATTAAGAAACACATCAGACATCTGACACAGAGTTCTAGTGTATTTTGAAAGATGGATTTTTAAATGATCTGTGTGCCAGGTTGTTGATACACCAACTGAGGTGCTTTCATTACTAGCAATTAAGTGCTACACTGTGTCTCTTATACTCAAGTGCTAAATAGCAGGGCTGGTGTTTAATACATGTTTACTAACTGCTATAATATGATTTCAAAGACTGCCTACCATGATCCACTGATATCCGTTTCTGAGACATGGTGCACAAGAGGAATTACATTACTGTGCAGTACTGAGGGTATGGGTAGACTGCGGGGGGTTTTCGGGTATTCTGAAAAAACTCTGTTGTGTCCAAGGAATGTGTTTGCTCTTCTGCTTTTTTTTGCGGAAGAGCAAACGTGCTCTTTCAGAAGCCCCTGTATTCCTCGTTTCAGAAGGAAGAAGGGCGGTTATGAAAGAGGGGTTTTCTCTGAAATTTGGCCCAGTCTAGAGAGGCCAAATTTCAGAAAAGCCTCTTCCAACAAAAGTATGGGGAAAAGAGCCTCGCAGTCGAGACGTACTCTGAGAGTAGAGACTCTGTTCTCTGGCACCACTGTCTTTCATGGAGAATTGCAAATTAAAAGTCTGTTGTTGTCCCTGTGAGGAGGAGTTCTGCCTTTTATTTCAACAGGAGCAGAACTAGCTCCTGAAAACAATTTCCAACAGCAGCCAAGAGAGAGGAGGCAGGAAGATGCTAACATTGCAGTTCTGGGGGAAACCTTGATGGAGGCTCTCCAAGTACAAGCTGTACTAAGTTTAAAATGTATGGATTCAGAAATGCCTGGCAGAGTGAAGCGTATGTGCAATAATTCCCTAGGTGAAGAGAAGATTTAATGCCTCCTTTATTCCGCATCCATTACTTGGCATCTGCCCCTTTTGCACCTGTCAGCCCAGGTCAGCAACCCTCTTACCTTCCTTTTTTGGCAGGGAGGAGGGGAGAGGAAGGAACTTGCACCCACCTCTATAATTTCTTGCTTCCCAAACTCAAACCTAGTTTCTGTTCTGTAGTCCCCGTGCTGTTTGATGCAGCGATGTTTCCCTAATAGTGGGTCCCAACCCCTGGAAAGTTTTATGTGGGTCATCCCATGTAGGGCTGGATTAACCAATCACAGAGTCCTGATGGAGTTGTGGCTGGGCCAAATCTGAGTGATGAAGCAGCCCTATGTACCAGGTTGCAATGTCTGGATTAAGGAGCTGGGCCCTGTGCCATGGCATAGACAGGGCTGGCCTTACCATGAGGCGAACTGAGGCAGCTGCCTCAGATGCCAGACTGTGGGGGGAGAGGAGAGGCACTAGGACCCAGAGTGTAGAAAATTGTGTCTGCTGTGGGTGGGTCAGGGAGCCAGTCAGGGAGATATAAAAATGAACTGAGCTGAAGTGAGAACCCAGATATAATATTATGAACCTTGTTTTACTGTGTAACTGTGAAAATGTACTTGTATTTTAAGAGTTTCAGAGTGGTAGCCATGCTAGTCTGCAACTGAAAAAAGCGTAAAAAACAACAAACATTCTTGCAGCACCTTAGAGATGAACAAAAAATGTAGATGGTATTATGAGCTTTCGTGAAAAAGTGGGTTATGCCCACAAAAGCTCATACCATCTACATTTTTTGTTCGTCTCTAAGGTGATGGAGGACTATTCGTTGTTTTGTATTTTTAGAGTTGAAGAGTGTCAATAGTGACTAATAAAGGAAATATTTAATGAGATGCTACCAATATCTATCAACCCCCTATTTACACAATAATATAAAAGAAATAGTGTTACTTCTTTTGCCATGCTCAACATGTAACATTTGATGACTTTCTAAGACTGCAAAACATAGACTGTTTTCCCCTGTAGAAAATAAAAGATGCCCCCAAAGAAGTCTTCAGGAACTCAATATAGGAAGCAAAAAACTCAATTGCAATCTGATTTGCAGCAAGGAACAAATCTGATGGGAAAATATCTGAAACAGAACAGCACAGACATTTTGTACTAAAGCAGTGGCTCTCAACCTTTCCACACCATCGTACCCCTTTCAGAAGTCTGATTTGTCTTATGTACCCCAAGTTTCATCTCACTTAAAAAACACTTGCTTACAAAATCAGATATAAAAACACAAAAGTACAACAGCACACTAATACTGAAAAATTGCTTGCTTGCTCATTTTTACCCTATAATTATGCAATAAATAGATTGGAATATAAATATTGTACTTACATTTCAGGGTATTGTACACAGAGCAGTATAAACAAGTCATATGAAATTTTAGTTTGTACTGACTTCACTAGAGCTTTTTATGTGGCCTATTATAAAAGTAGGCAAATATCTAGACGAGATGACACTCCCCCCAAGACCCGTGTGTTCCCCCTGGGGTACACATACTCCGGGTTGAGAACCACTGAACTAAAGGATTAGGGTTTATATTCTAAAGCTGTGACCTACTGAAACACTGTGTTATCTTTGACCACCCAATACTGCTTCCCAGTTCAATTTCTTGATGTTAGCACATTTCATTTAGTCTTAAAATGAAAAAAAATACCTATTCAATCAATTTTTTATTTGCTTATGTATGGCATGGGATAAATCAAGCATGCAAACTGTGCATCAAAGTTATGAAATGGGACACAAATGCAATAAAACATAAGGTAACAATTGGAAGGAGGTACCAAAGATGCTCCTCACCTGGCATATCACTTGGCCTGGGGCCTGCCCTGGATTGTGGCAAGTTCTGGTCATGTCTCACCTGAGCTGGTGAAAGGACCACTTCTGATTCTCCCAGTCATCCTATCCAACCTTCAGGAACATTTATACAGTAGTCTGTGCTATCGACTTTACATTTTTGATGCTTCTGAACATAAAGCATGGCCTTTCCTTGGTACAGGGATTTACAATGTCCAGTATGTTCCATTTCAAACATACCACACCTAGGCAACGTCTACTCTGCACAGTTATTTCAGAATAAGCTATTCCAGAATATTTATAGCTTATTTCAAAAAAGCACGTCTATACTGCAGGGAAGCCTCAAAATTAGTCCGAGGCAGGCTTTCCTAATGTAGACATGCTATCTTGATTTAGAGCCCCAGAAGGAATAATTTAAAAGGGCCCTGGTGAGGGGCTATTTCAAAATAGCAGAATTGGAGCGTCTTATTTCGAAATAACTTGGCTATGTGAGGAGAATGAGTGATAAACGCCTTCCCAAATAAATCCTTTTTGGTGAACTAACAAGTGGAGTAAGGGCAAGAGGAAGGCCAAAGTTAAGATTCAAGGATATATGTAAAAACACTATGAAAAGGTTTAACATCAATCCTAGCTCTTGGGAATCTACATCATCAGATCGCAACACCTGGGCTACATCTAGACTGGCATGATTTTCCGGAAATGCTTTTAACGAAAAGGTTTCAGTTAAAAGCATTTTCGGAAAAGAGCGTCTAGATTGGCACGGACGCTTTTCCGCAAAAGCACTTTTTGCAGAAAAGCGTCCATGCTAATCTAGACGCGCTTTTCCGCAAAAAAGCCCCGATCGCCATTTTCGCAATCGGGGCTTTTTTGCCGAAAACAAATCTC